CAAGTCTACATTATGAACAGATTTTATTTTTGTCCAGTGCTGGGGATGGAACCCAGGGCCTTGCACAGGCTGGCAAATGCTCTCTCTTCCTCTTTTGTTTTTTCCTTAGAACCCAGGGGCGCTTTACTACTACTATTTTGAGACAGGGTCTCCCTAAATTGCTTGAACTTGTGATCCTCTTGCCTCAGCCTCCTGAGTCCCTGGGCTTGCAGGTGTATACCACTGTGCCTGGCCAGTGTTGTTCTTCTTGTTGGCCTTTCAGAACCATCCCCGTTGACTTTCTAGGCTCCTCATCTGCAGGTTAAACATCCCTGAAAGTTCAGGCTTCATGAGACAAACTCCAGCCCAGAATTATTAACCAGATGTTGGTCTGTGTCTTCCTATTTATTTATTTATTTATTTAAGTTTTAATCTTTGTTTTATTTATTTATTTTATGTGGTGCTGAGGATCGAACCCAGTTCCTCACATATGTGAAGCAAGCACTCAACCAGTGAGCTACAACCCCAGCCCCCTATTTATTTATTTTTTAAAAATATTTTTAGTTGTTGATGTTCCTTCCTTCCTTCCTTCCTTTATCCTTCCCTTCTCTTCTCTTTTCTTTCTTGTGCTGAGGATTGAACCCAGTGCCTCACACATGCTAGGCAAGTGTTCTGCCACTGAGCCACARCCCTAGCCCCTTCTTTTTTATTTTTAAATTGAGATATCATTCATATACCATAAAAAAGTACCCTTTCACTACCCAGGAATGCCAAAAACGAATTACCATCTTAAAGCATGCAGTTTTTATATTCACAGAACTGTACTACCATCACTAGAATTCCAGATCATTTTTTTTAGAGAGAGAGAGAGAGAGAGAGAGAGAGAGAGAGAATTTTAATATTTATTTTTTAGTATTCGGCAGACACAACATCTTCGTTTGTATGTAGTGCTGAGGATCGAACCCGGGCCACATGCATGCCAGGCGAGTGCGCTACCTACCGCTTGAGCCACATCCCCAGCCCCAGATCATTTTTAAAAAAATGTCTATTTTTTAGTTTTAAATGCACACAATATCTCTATTTTATTTTTATGTGGTGCTGAGGCTCGAACCTAGTGCCTCATGCATGTTAGGCGAGCACTCTATCACCTGAGCCAGAGCTCCAGCCCCCAGATCATTTTTTTCACCCCAGAAAGAAACCCCAAGAGTAGCCAGTCCTCATCTCCCCTTCTCCTGGCCCTGGCACTCTCTCAGCTGCTCATTCCTGTGGACTTGCTGTTTCTGGTCATTTCATGTAAATGGAGTTTTTGCGTGAACATGCTGTCAGTTCTTCTGGGTGTATCCCAGGGGTGACATTTTAGAGGAACTGCCATACTGCTTTCTTTCTTTCTTTCTTTTTTCTTTACTTTTTTTTTTTTTTTTTGGTGCTTAGGATCGAGCCCAGGGTCTTGTGCACCAGAGGCAAGCACTCTACTGACTGAGCTCTATYGCCAGCCCCGTGCTGCCTTCCCTTCTATCCAACACCAGCACCGCTTGTCTTTGTGTCTGATTATCAGCATTCTTGTGGGTGTGAAGCTGTATCTCAGTTTTGGCTTGCATTTTCCTGATGTTCAACATCTTTTCATGTGCTCATTGGCCACTTCTTTGGAGAAATGTCTGTCCTTTGCCTGTTTTTTYCCCCCCCCTTCCCAGTGTTGGGGATGGAACCCAGGGCCTCCAGGCATGCTAGGCAAATGCTCTACCACTGAGCTCCCCAACCCCTCCTTTGCTCATTATCTTTTATTACATTTATTCATTTATTTTATTTTTTTGGTACTGGGGCTTAAACTCAAGGGTGCTTAAGTCACATCCCCAGCCCTTTTAATTTTTTCTTTTGAGACAGGGTCTCATTAAGTTGTTCAGGGCCTTGATAAATTGCTGAGGCTGGCCTTAAAGGTGCAATCTTCCTGCCTCAGCCTCCTGAGTTGGTAGGATTACAAGTGTGTACCACTGCACCTGGTACATCTTTTTATTGTTGGATTTAAGATTTCTTTATATAGGCTGGATACCCAAATATGATTTKCATATCCTATTCTGGGTATTGTTTTTTTACTTTCTTTTTTTTTTTTTAAAGAGAGAGAATTCTTTAATATTCATTTTCTAGCTTTCGGCGGACACAACATCTCCGTTTGTATGTGGTGCTGAGGAT